ACAATAAACAACTGCAATTCTATATATATTTAATGCAAATAATATGCAAGTATATATATATTTATTTCTAATACAATTATATAACTATTATGCTTTTTCCTAACCTATTGTATTTTGTATAAATGAGTCCCAAATTTCATTATACTTGTCCATACAAAGTCTACGTCTATAGCCAATCTGCTTGTAGGTGGCAAGTGTAATCAGGTTTTCAATCCATTGAGTGAATGGGACCATACATTTACCTTTCCAGTGTTGCAATATCAGTCTTTTAGCCATAGTAAGGGCATGGAGAATCCATTTATGTTGTCTAGTTGTCAAATTCCACGTACTAGGTATGTAATTCAAGAGAATATTATCCTCTGAAAATTTTAGCTTTTGTCACATAGTCACGTTTATATGGCCCAATACTTTCTCCCAAAACTTAGTAAGTATAGGACATTGTAAAAACATGTTTTAAAGAAGCATTATCCTTGTTATATCTGCAACAAAATGCTGTCTTTGACAATCCTTTTCTATACAAACGTAATGGAGTCCAATAAATTCTAAATATTATTTTTTGTTGTATAAATGGTAGTTCAAGGTCTACTGACACTCTTGCTATAGAAGTTAAGACACGCTCCATTGTTTAGGTAATATAGAAACCTCTAATTCTTTATTCCACTCATCTCTTAACATCTGCAAGTCAAATTTATTTGTTGATAACAAATATCTATAAAAGCTAATAAGCTTTTATAGCTTATTTTAATATATTAAAATATAGCTTTATTTTAATAAGCTAGTAGGTTTTTTAGTTTTAAAGGATTTAACAAGTTGTTTAAGTATCTCAGGTGTCTCACCTGAGATACTTAAACAACTTGTTAAATCCTTTAAAACTAAAAAACCTACTAGCTTATTAAAATAAAGCTATATTTTAATATATTAAAATATAGCTTTATTTTAATAAGCTAGTAGGTTTTTTAGTTTTAAAGGATTTAACAAGTTGTTTAAGTATCTCAGGTGTCTCAGAAGCTGAAAATGCTGCTGGTCCAAACAATCAGGTGTCTCAGAAGCTGAAAATGCTGCTGGTCCAAACAATGTTATTAACAAATGTTGTAGTTATAAATATTGCCATTTGATGATATTTATCTCTTAACACAGCATATGTTAAAAATTGATCTTCATCCTCTATCAATTGATCCAAAGTCAATATCCTCATTTCCATCCAATTTTTCCATATCACCATCTTTTTCCCAATTTTTAATGTTGGGTTTCCCCCTAAAGTCAATTTAGCATGGGAAAAAGGATTGAATCATTTTTTTATTATACATTACATTTCATAGTTTTCTAACTGACACTCATTTCCCGAGATACTAGAGTTCTACTGTATTTAGATCCTAATACTGTCCATCCAACCAAAGGTGCTATACATGTATATTCCAACATTGCCCAAATGTTGTAAAATTTAGTAAAATTAATACCAATTGTTGGCTTCCAATATTTAATACTTGACAATAGGTAAGCATGATGATACAGCTCCAAATTCGGAAAATGGAATCCTCCCTCATTAATTTGTAATTGCATTTTCCGTAAAGATATTCTCGGAATCGAAGAACCCCATAAAAATGCTCTAAAGAAAGAATTTATTTTCTGAAAATATTTTCCAGATATTTGAACAGGAATTCCTCAGAATATAAATTGATCTGGGAATAATATTCGTTCTGAGAGCATTCACCTTTCCCTAAAGGGTAAGGTTTAATGACTCCCATCTATCCCTATCTGAAGAAACCTCTTTATATATTCTATTTATATTACATGTAACTAACTGAGTTATGTCTTTGGGTATGCACTTACCTAATTATTTAATGGATTCGGTACAAATACGGAATTGATATTCCTTAAATGAATGGATGACCAAATTTTCGCCTACTGGCATCAGTTTCACTTTGGACTAGTTAATAGAATATCCCACTATTTTACTAAAGGCATCTATTATTTGCATCAGCACTGGAATAGTATATGGGGTTTACGAATAAACAGAAGAATATCATCTGCAAATAAAACCAATTTGTGTTCTACTGAATTAGGTATTACTCCATAAATCTCCATAAATCTCTCTATTGTTCAATAGCACAAGCCAAGGGTTCCATGCAAACATTAAAAAGCAAGGATGAAAGTGGACATCCTTGTCTAGTTCCACTAAATAATGGAAAAGTAGCAGAAAAAATACCATTAACTTTTACTTTACATGTGGGCGATTCATATAGTATCTTAGTCCATTTTATAAATTTCGAAGTAAATTCAAACCTATTTAGTATAGCAAATGTGTACTGTCTATATATTTTGTCAAAAACATTTTCAGCTTCTAACAATAAAATTACAAATTGGTCTTTATTTTTATTACAATCTATTAAATCTACAACTAACCTAATATTGCTGTTGTCATGTGATCACCATTTGTGACCTTCCCTGCTGGCTTTCTACAAGCAAAGTCAATTGGGAAGCCAGCAGGGAAGCTTGCAAGTTGCTCTGGTAAGTCACTCCCACTGCTTTTTCTCCCGAGTCCCACTATGGAGTATGAGATCCCAAGGATCCCAAGGTTCTCATACTCTGTAGCACCCCCTCCGCTCACCTGCACTTCCCAGCACCTACATGCTGCCCTTGCTGGGTTGTGGCACTCCCCATCCCCCCACGCTCCTTACCTGGGGCTCCCACCTCTTCCTGCTTAATGACCCGCGTGGTCCTAGGATTACAGCGGCAACAGGTACTCCCAGGATTGCTGTTGCTAAGCAATGCGGTCATGTGATATCGCACTTTATGAGTGTATCACTTCATGACAGCAGTCCCATTGCCAACTGCCGTCATAACCTGAGGACTATGTGTATTAGGATATATTTAATAGAAGCCTGCATTTAACCAGGTGTATAGCTTGAACTGCATGGTCATTGGGATGAAAGTCAGAAGAGAAAATGTCAGATGATATTCTGGGAACCTATGAAGGACAGATAATCTGTTTCTGGGATGTCTATTTAACTTTAAAAATATGTAATTGTTTTACAAATTATGTTTGCTTTGTAAATATGTATTTAAAATCCAGCCCTTACATTTCTTTTTATAAATACTCAGGTCTGTCTGACACATTGTTCCTTTGGAGATGTGTTGTTCGGCTGTTGCAGAGTGAAGAGCAGATAGTCAGGGATACAGTTGCTGGAGTTATAAGACTAGCTCTGTCTCAAGAAAATGTATTTAGGAAAACAGGTAAGAAATTATTTTCTAGTGATAAATATTTATGAGACTGACTTTAGTGCAAGTGCCAGTTTGCTCTTGTTTGCAGGTTGTATTCAGTAAATGCATCTAAAGTCCTTTCTCACTTAATTGATTTTATTGTAATTCCTTTGTTTGATTGTTGTGAGCTGCTCAGAGTCATTGGGAGTTGTATGGCATACAAGTTTAATTCATCATCATCATCATCATCATCATCATCATCATCATCATCATCATCATCATCA